ATGCTGTGTTGCCCCCCCCCCGCTAAATTATAAGGGCTCTTACTGCCAACTTTTATGAATTCTTGAAGGCTTTTTCAAGAGGCCCTTCATCTCCAGCTGGTGGCAATGGCAACTGGAAAGGAGGTTTTGCACAGGTAAGGCAGTACTGCAGCTTGAAAACAATGTCAAGGAGAGCTTCGGAGACTCCCTGTCCTCGGATACACGGTCACACCCTTTCCTTTGGCTCGAGTTTACGTGACTTAAAACACCCACAGAAGGGATCTCCTTTCGGCCGGACACCAGACAGCCTCTCGGGCAAGCACGGGAGGTGAGGCAGGAGAACAAGCAGAGGACTCAGAACCCTGGGGGCCGATCTCAGCTTCGAAGAGCCCTCTAGGCCTGCCCAGCGGGCCGGCAGCGCGGCGGCACCCTCCTCCTGATATGATGCCTTGAAGTCTTTGAGGCATTGGAGGCTGCTCCTCTTGCCTCCTTGACAGTAAGCTCTCCCATTTGACCTGAGCTGGTTACGACATGCCAGAATTGTGTTTATTTTTCCATCCTGCTGTAGCCAAGTTTGTCATTTAATAAACATCAGCCCCCGCCCCCCCTGCCCTGATCTCTGTCCCCTCTGTAAGCCAGAGGAACAGATGGGAGGGCAAAGGACCAGAAATGCCTGGCACTTCCCAAGGCTGGAAAGGAGAGAGCTGGAGATTTTCAGATGAAAATTTAAAGAAAAAAAACCCAACAAACACAGGCCTTTCTCAGCTTTATCTTTGTTCCTTTGAGCTGCTCAGGCCTGATCCAAACCCCTCACCTACACCAGAGGGAACCTGTGAAGGCTGAGCATGCTTGGCTGCCACTAACTCTGTGCTCCTGGAGCAAGGCAGAGGGACTTTGCCTGCTTGTTTTGAGTGCTGGATTTTGGGTTAATCACAGAGCAGTGACAAGGAGATGACAGCATCTGACAGGGTGTTGGAGGGAATGACAGTCCCTGGACACAGGGGCATTTGTTACCAAAAACAGCTGCAACTCGTGATGCAAAGCAAACAGCTTCTCCATGGCTTCAATTCCAACTTTGTCTCTCTCGACCAGGGACCAGCCATGCTCCAGCACACTCAGTGGCAAGACCCATACTTGAAGAACAGGCTGTGAAGGAACCTGGTATTAAACACGGGAGTGAAGTGGGAAGAAAGTGTGTTCTCATCCTGGAGTGCTTGTCCACATGAAGCTCTCCTGAGCTCCTTAATCTGAGCAATAAGATTTGGATCACTTAGGAAGAGAAGGACCTGTGGGGCTGGAACGTGTCCAGAGAAAGGCAATGGAGCTGGGGAAGGGGCTGGAGCATGAGTGTGAGGAGGAGCAGCTGAGGGAGCTGGGGGTGTCCAGCCTGGAGACAAAGAGGTGAGGGGAGACCTGCTGGCTCTGCAACTGCTGAGAGGAGGTTGGAGCCAGGGGGTTTGGTCTCTGATCCCAAGGAACAAGTGATGGGACAAGAGGAAACGGGCTTAACTTGCACCAGGGGAGGTTTAGATTGGATCTTTGGAACAATTTCTTCCCCAAAGGGTTGGGGGAAGAGCTTCTTGCAAGGGCGTGTGGCGGTAGAACAAGGGGTAGTGGGTTTCAGCTGGAAGAGGGGAGATTTAGGTTGGAGATGAGGGGGAAATTCTGTAGTGTGAGGGTGGTGAGACGCTGGAGCAGGCTGCCCAGGGAAGTTGTGGCTGCCCCCTCCCTGGAAGTGTTCAAGGGCAGGTTGGATGGGGCTCTGAGCAGCCTGATCTAGCAGGAGGTGTCCCTGCCCATGGCAGGGGGGGTGGATCCAGATGGTCTTTAAGATCCCTTCCAACCCAAACCATTCTATGATTCTAGACTTCGAGTCAACACTTAAAGCAGCCATGCCCTGAGTCTGCTAGCTGAGCATATACACATCCTGCTGGTTCCAGAGAACTGTAGGTCATCAGTGAGGAAAATAGCATCTTGTGAGACATTCACGAGAAGTAAGATCCGTAAGGAACTGTTCTCTTTAGGAAAATACAGAAATGGTTCCCTTCCAACCCAGACCATTCTATGATTCTAGACTTCGAGTCAACACTTAAAGCAGCCATGCCCTGAGTCTGCTAGCTGAGCATATACACATCCTGCTGGTTCCAGAGAACTGTAGGTCATCAGTGAGGAAAATAGCATCTTGTGAGACATTCACGAGAAGTAAGATCCGTAAGGAACTGTTCTCTTTAGGAAAATACAGAAATGGTAATGGTCAATTTGATATGTTTCCTGATTTATTTATTTTTTGCCTGGCTAGGCAAACTTAACATTCTCTGAAAACAAGTCAACAGAATTAAAGAAAGAAAAATAACAAATGCAAAATTGATATAGTGTTGAAATCAATGCATGGAGTAAACTTCCATAGTTTAATTTGTAAAAGGTTGACTGGAATAGCTATATGTACATATGTGAAACTTTATAATAAAATAAAACCCCACAGCTTCTTTGTAAGATCTCAGTGTTGCACATTCAGCACGACAGTGCTGTCTCCATTTATGTTCCCTTCTCCCTGGAAGTTCCCATTCGTAAGCTGATTTGCTGTATTGTGTGCACTAAAAGATTGGCAGTACTGTTAAAACTCCTTTGCCTTTACTTTCTGTTTAAGAACATCTAAAGCAAAATGCAACTATTTTACCATTGTTAGGGCCAAAGTCAAGATCCCAGTTCCTTGCATTAAGCAAATGTCAATCTTGGGTGTGGTGGGATGAGACTCTTTCATGTTAGCTAACTGTGTGGAGTTAGTGAGTGGACAAACGAGTGGGAAGAAAGTGGCTTCTGCATGCCATGGTGGGGGCAGAGGCACAGCACTGCCTTGCCCCACAGAAATGCAGCATGGCTGCGTTGGTCTGATTCACAACTTGGTATTGACCCCTCTGCAGAACTTCAGGACTTGCCCCGAGAAGTCTTTGCTGTCGATCCAACCAGTATGTGTCAAATTCCAGATACAGAAGTTCTCTACAGATGCAGGAAATGCAGGTACTGGACCTTTTACAGTTCTCCATTTAATGTCATTTTTAAAATTGACTCGAGAAAAACAGCCTGTGTAAATCAATGAGCATGTCATTATTGTCAGGACAGGGATGAGCTCTTCCCTAAGTTTCCATACAGTCCATGCCAAAGTATCTTACAAGATACAAAACCTTTTTTGCCTGGACTTATGCAGCACTTGTGCAGCCTAACCTGCCACACTCTGCAGGCAGGCTTAATTCTGCTTGGCTCTGTGAAGTTGCTTGCTCTGAAACCAGAACTTGTAGTTTGGTTTTGACAACCAGTTCCTCTAGAAGAAACTTCTTACAGATTTTGGGGAGTTACTACATTTTAACTGCCTTTTATGGATTACTTAAAGTGAAGTTGAATAATCCTCCCATTTCCTGGGCATAGGTTTCTTCAAGTACATGAGTGTGTATTTAAACTTTAGTATGTAGGAATTGATAAAAATCAGTGTATATGAGAAGCAGCATACAGCTGTGAGACTGCTTTTTTGTATTGTCTGTAGGTTTCCCTGGTTAAAAAAAACAAACTGTCTTGCTTCTCTTTTCCCGTCTGTCCTGGAGGGCAGGCGTGCTCTGTTCCGTAGTTCCAGTATTTTGCCTCACGTGGAAGGAAGCGGACCTACAGCCTTTGCCCACAAGAGGGTAACTGGCTCGGCTCGGCTCTGCAGTGATGGTCGTGAGAAGTGTACCTCTTACTTCATAGAGCCTGTGCAGTGGATGGAGCCAGCACTGCTCGGTGTGATGGAAGGACAGGTAAAGGGGAGCATGTGCTTTGTTTTTCAGGCTTTTTGCGCCCCACAAGAACCTAGGTCTCCCAGCCTTTCTGGCCCAGGTTTTGCAGCTTATGAACAGAGTCTTAAATATCTTTTCATGAGGAAATGAGCTGTTGATCCCATTGGATGTAGAACGCTAGCCAGGGTGTTGGAGAGAGTCTGTCTGCTGTGTGGGTTTATTATAAGAAAAGAGCTTGTGGGACCTATAAAACCCATTGCTTTCTTAGGCTGACCAGTGCTTTCTGGAGACTGGCAAAACTGTCCCAGAACCACACTAGGGCTGAGCTACATTTCCAGACCCTCCATTTTGCCAGTGCTGCTGCCTGCTACACCCCAGGGCGTGGCAAACACCAGCCAGCGCAGTTTTGCTTTTTTGCCTGTTTTTCAGTCTCTTTACCTTCTGTGAAGTGTTACATGGGCAAGACCTAGGCTCAGCACAGGTTGCCAAAATGGAATGTACCGTGGAAGTACAGTAGGAAATTGCCTACATTTTAGTATGTCTAAGTTAAATTTAAACTAAAAAGCACACTTAAGCAGACCTACATCTGAGTGTGCCTTGGAGTGAGTCACATTTTCCTTGCAGCTCCTGTGTCCCAAATGCACGTCCAAGCTGGGTTCCTTCAGCTGGCGAGGTGACCAGTGTTCCTGTGGCCGCTGGGTGACACCTGCCTTCCAGATCCACAAAAGTCGAGTGGATGAAGTGAGGACTCTGCCAGTTGGTAACTTCCAAGCTACCAAAACTTGAGCTCATCCTTTCCCTTGATGGATTTTTTTAACATCCACAGAGAACTGCTGGCTAGTCTGTGGTTGCCAGGAGGGAGCTTGTGACTTCTACCCCTTTGTAATGCAGTGGAATTACTTGAATGGTTTGCTCTGTTTGAGCTTACTGTTTCATTAATATATAAACAATAGCAAACACTTCAAAGAGGCATTACAGTGGTCAACTATGCATAAAAATGCCCAAATACAAGGTTTTTGGTACGTTTTCACTTCATCTGTTGCTATTTTCAGGAGGTCTAAAAAGGATTATTAACATGTTACATTCAGGCTGTGGCCAGCTTCTCTGCCAATCCAGAAGTTCAAATCAGTTTGTCTGAAACACACAGCTGAGATTTTAGGAGGTATATTCCACAACATAAGGTACACATCAGAGAACTTCAAGGCTTAGTAAAGGGCCATAAAATGATGGCATTGCTATCATTCACTTGCATGGTAGCTACTAGCAGTGAAAGGCAAGTTCATGCTTGTATTACAATAAAAGTAGTCCTAAAAATGTTTCCTACCCTGTAACTCTTCCTTTTGTGTAATAGCTGAGGCGATGAGGCAGGCTGCACTGGAATGGGAGGACTGCAGTAAAACATCCTTGCCTCACTGCTGCTTACAAGTTTAAACAGAGATCCCTAGAATGATGAAAGATTTTAAGGAAGAACCATATGCTGTGTATACCACTTTAGCACAGGTTTGCTTTGGCTAAAGAAAACAGGACAGAAAGACCTACTTTAAAGCCATTTTATTTTCATTGACTCCAATTTTTTTTTTTAATTTTTTTTTTACACAATTTCCAGCAACATACATTATGAAATATACAAGATAAAGTAGGTGGTGGGGTTCTGCCCCTCTTTTCATTCCTCCCACAGTTGTGGAGGAAAGACTTGCAGGACACAGTGAACATCAGAATCTCAACACTGAAAACAGACACAAAACAAAAAATGACAAAAATATATAGGAAACTGTTTGAACTGGTCACACTTCAGGGCCAGGTACAGCACAATAAATATTAGAACTGCATTACCTTAGACATCTTCTGTAAAGTTTATAACATCCTCTATGTAAAGAGATAAGAACATCTGTTTTCTAGCATGAAATGCTACATAGTACAGTGGTGAAGGGTACAAATATTGAGGAATCCAGCAGGGGCTTGAATGGTGACTACTCATTCACACATGCTCATTGGTAAAATAAGCAGCATACACTTAAAGTTTCGTGAGCTGTAAACTTAACCATTCACTACCAGAGTATCAGGTGGAGGAGTAGCTCCTTTTGGGAGAACCAAAAATAGTTAATCCCTTTAAGTTTCAGCTGGGCTGTCCCTGACAAACTACGAGTTGGTATCATAGTTGAAGTGGCAGCATTTGGTCCATAGTGTGAGACTTTGCACTGCTACTGTTCAAAGCTGTCAGCTGGTGGAAAGAGGTGGGTGCAGAGTTAACACTTGGCCACACCACCACAACCGGTGGTGACTTGTCATGAAACCATGACTAACAAAGCAGCACTGGATGCCACCTGACACAAGCAAGTGGGAGAGAGTGGAGCAGATGCCAGCATTTTTCTCTCTCTCACTCTGCAGCAATGGTGAGAGCTGGGCTCTTGGAGTACGACAGAAAGGCTGCTCTGTGCTCGCTCCTCACCTCGTACACATTTTGCCAGCAAACAAGCCCAAGACACAGCAGTTTCAGCTGTTTGACAGAGTGCTTCCAGAGCAGAGAAGATGACCAGTCACTGGTTTCTCTTGCATTGCAATCAACGAGACAGGCGTAAATACACTTTGTACTCCTCAGCCTTCCCTCTGTTCATCCCCTGCCCCAAGAAGTGTAGCATCATACATTCCTCTTACATGAGAACTGGGGACCTTCTGTGCCACCACCAAACAGGCCACGTGAGCACAGGTGGAAAAGGAAGTTTAAGCACATGCCTGCCTTCCTTTCCTTGGCATAGCCATTGCACTGGCAGACAGCACCACTGAGCAAGGACTGTGCTCCTGGTCCACACACTTGGCATCACCATAACTTGCTATGCATGTCCTGCAGAACATGGCAGCAGTCACAGGCTTCACACACTGAAACAGCTGAGCATCATGACATTTTAAGGGGTGAGTGGGAGGCAAGAAGGTACACTTCTGCTGGAAGTTGAGCATCTATGGCTTTGATTTTAACTGATGCCAAGTCCAACAGTCCTATCTGTATTAAACAGGAAAATAAAACTTTTTTTCCAGTGTACAAAAGCATATTGGTTGCTTGTACGTGCTCATCCTCTAGTTAGTCCCTTCTTGGAGATATCCAGAACTACCACACTGCAATACCAACTGACCCAGCTGAAGGTTGCAGAAGGAACAGAGTAGTGAAAAAGTTTTGGTTGTATCAACATGTCATCAGGATATGGTCAAAAATTCTGCTTCAGAACAGGGAGTTCTGTGTCATGATAGTCACATAGCAAAGTGCCAGATGTAAATGCCCTTACCACTGCCAGCTCAGAACGTACCATGTGACTGCATTAAGATCTACACCTTCCCTGCCCATACAGCTCAGTTGGTTACATCCCAAGGTGAAAGATGGGTTGCCAAGCGAGCTGAGAGAGGCAAGGTGAAGTTTTTCCCACCCTAGAAGTGTACAACAGCATTTCCTCACTCAGCCAGGCCCATTCACTCATCACTCACGATTTCAGACACACCAAGCAATGCTGAACACAAACTAAGAGGAATGTTTTGTAAGGACACTCTTGAGTATGAACAGGGGAAACACAGGGCTAGGTATCAACTCAAGTACTGTTGCATCATTCTTGTAAGGTAGGGAAGCAGAGGAGTTGAGATGAGGAATCGAGAGGACAAACTGGAGTGGTCACAGAGGTCGAGTCTAGTCTTCCAGACTGCGAAATGCATTCTGCATATCCTCAAACAGCTGAGCATAGTCCGCCTTGATTTTTGTTTCACCATCTTTGACAGGGTCCTGAAAAATAATAACATGGCAAATGAACAGATAATTCAAGAAAAGCCTCAGGTGCTTAACACAATCCTGCTTTGCCAGTGCTGTAACTTCTCAGGGTTAACACTTGTTAACTGCAGAGCAGTCACTAGAGCTCCATCTCTGCCTCCTGTCTGTCTCACCAATAGCCACAAGATTTAAATCTCATCCTCTTCACACAGTCAGTGAGTAGGCAAAATGGATACTGGACAGGAAATTTTTCAAGAGCAGTGCTTGCTTTATTGAAAAGCAACTGATTTCGAGAGGATGTGATAACTGGTTGATGCAGTGCGATTCAAGAGCTGCAGTGATTACTACCAGCTCCTAACCCTAAACCAAATGAAGTAAGCATCTTCATGACTCAGAAATGCTCTGCTGTACTGTTTGGGGTACATCCCCTGTAAGTGCAACAGTTACTTTGCCATCACTTGAAGGTGGCTCAGTTCTAATTAGAATCTTCTTGTGCAATTGTAACAAGCTCAAAAACATCTTTCTACAGTTTCACCTTCTCTGAACACTTTTCATAAAAGACACTGGCAAAAAAAAAAAGTAACAATCAGCTGTGTTCTGAGGCTGCAAGGCCTTCCCTACAAGAAGCATCACCTTCCAGGGTGTGGAATCTGTTCAATGTCTTCACCATTCCCCTTCTCAGAACCACTATCCTCTGGGTCTGTGCAGCTCTTGGGAAACACGAAGACTTACGTGTGGATTCAATATTCCATCATCTCTCCAAAGTACACAGACCACAGGATGCAGAACATGTAAATTCTCATGCCTTTTAGACCATTACCCAGAAAATACCATTTTCCTTTCATAACTATTACTGTATTAGAGGGCTAGCTCCACTTAACATGTATTCACCCTCTGGATTCCCATTTTCCACACCTCTGCCGTATGCCAGATGTCTTCTGGTGGCCAGGGTTTGTAAACAGTAGCCATCCCTCAAAGCAGCTCATGCCCCCAACTGTATCCTGTTACGATCTTCCTGATGCTTTGAGAATATATACCAGGGATCTGCTTACTGCAGAAACAAACCTGCATCCTGCTGAATACCTTGGCACGCTACAACACTTAATTTTAAATGCAATTTTTTCCTATAGTACTTGTTCTTGAAAAATGTGCAGTAATAGCTTCTAAGAGTTTTAACAGAGTAAGCATCATACTTCATAGAGAACATTCCTTAGCTACTTTAACATAGCCAGCACCACAAGTTACTGTCCTATCAGTAACTGGTACACCAGCATGCTCTGGATGAGTTTTAGGAAAGCTGTACTCTAAAATTTGGCTGCTGAAATTACCCAGAGCAGGTGCTTCAAGCCATTTTTTTTTCTCTTTAGCCCATGTCTAAGTTAGTGCTCCTAGTCACCTGCCTTAGACCCTGATGCCAAACACTGAGGACATCATGTATTACTCAGGAATCCAGCATTTCTTTCCTTAGCTTCTACTTAATACAGCTTGATCAACATTTCTATCATTCACTTTTTAGCACATGCCTGGATTTAAAGAAGCAGCCTTTAGGCTGCCTATATCTGCTAAGTGTCCTTAGAACACGTTACAATTTTTTACAGAATTTTATCACAAAAACCTCAAACCAAACAGGAAACATGCTTGTACTACCACTGTGAATATATGTAACATAAAAGACACCACTGAAGGTGGGGTTGCCAAGGCTCTGCAGCCAGCACCACCCAATGACATTTCAGTACTGACTGAATGTTCAGTAACTAAAGCCAGTTTTTAAGTGCATTCAAAATGATTGCAAAGTCTCTGCTCATAGACCTTTATCTAAGGCAACTTATGACCACCTTTGAGAAACAGCCTTTCAGAAATACTGGAAACTCCCAAAAGGCAGTGCAACCCAGCCCCTTTCCAACATACCTTGAACTTCATGGAGGTAAGTCTGTAGAGGATTTCACTCATGTTCTCTCGGATGATGGACCACGTGATCTTATTGTCACTCTGGGCTGTGGTTTCTACAGCACGGCGTGCCATGTCATAAAATGCAATCATATTGGAAAGCATTCCCACTGTTTTATAGAAAGGGCAGAACCTGATGGAATAGAAGAGGAACTATCAGGCATTTTGGAACCGTTAACAGGACAAGCCTTTGCAACAACTCTGAATTCTCACGCAAGAGAAAGAGCACTAGCCTGCTTCACTCCAGGCATGTTTTTATACATGCTGTCAAAGGAGAGAGAGTGCCTCTAATAGGTCTCATTTTTAAATAGGTGAATCATAGGAGAGAATCATCCTGAAATGAAGTTTCTGAAACTGCACCAAAGCACTGGGTAAAAGAGAAGAGAACAGCAACCATCACTGTACATGTCTTGCACTTTCATTCTGTGCGGATGCTAAGGAGAAAGGGAAAACATCAGAACAGCCAACAGAATTCCTCCTTCCTCTTTCACCCATCATGGAAGCAGGCTTCCTCCAAGCAGCCTGGAATGACCTAACAGCTCTACAAGTTTGCTCAGAGAAAAGGTAGTGTTTCTAAGACAAAAACACTCCATACATAAAAAGGTCCATTTTCAATGGGTAGATGACTGCCGCAAAAGTTACCTCATTATTATTTATACACTACACCATGCTACTTCCTGTGCTTCCCTACTGCATACATCCATACCTGCCCTAGTAAACTAATCAAAGCCACACCACCTTACAGAATGATGTGTGCCTGAATTTTGAGTGATGAAGCATTTCAAGACCTCCTGGTCATATAATATTCTGTGATTCTGTGTGATTCTGATCTACGCAGGTTGGGGAATGAGATGAAGCACAAAAGGCCCCTTGTCAGGCTGTTAAAACACAAGGATAGCATGGAAAGAAGCAAAGCAGACAGGGATAAATAGGCATTGCACTAGGGAAAAGATCCAGTACATTTTTTTGACGGATCAAATGTACTCAGGAATTATGCAATAGTAACTGAAAGCAGATTCTTGTAGTCCCCCGTGCATTTCTAGAACAAACAGGAAGACTCTGGGTATTGACTGTGAGAACAGAGAGTTCCTCTCCTCCTCCTCCTCAGGAGGACATGCTATTGCAGAAATACTCGCTATCTGAAAAATAGATGAGAGCCCAAGAAACTTAAAGGGTGCAACTGTGTTTGGAAAAGGTCTGCATGCCTTGGGTAAGACAACATGAATACATGGTTCAGTCAGGCCTACCTAAGCACCATTCTTCCATTTGTTTATGGCAAGTAAAATTCCTTGCGGCACTGGTCCATTTCCAAGTAAAATAGCTGTCTAAATCCAGACTACACAGGACCAAGAGGGAAGATTGGCCAGTCAGATCTCACCTGTCATAAGGTGTGTAACCGTTCTGCTGCAAGAAGTCATCCTTGATCAGCTTGGCAACCTCCAAGGTAATTTTATCTGTTTCTGCCAAGGAAGCCTAGAAAAGTAAGGTATGCTGTTAGTTTGGTACTCAAGCCCATGAGGACATCCTGGCCAAGAACTGTTATCTTTCAATACATGTTTTACTCCTACCCTCTTAAGATAGCTTCCAGCAGAATTCATTCCCAGTTGTAGAACAGCCAATGTAATTGACAGCCAACTTAAGATGGGCCAAACAGTCAATAAGTCTACTTTATCTAATGATAAACAATGGAAAGAAAGTTTCCTGTATGATAATGGAAAAGCCACAGAAAAAACCCACATGGCTCTGCTATGAGGTACACTGACACCTTCCTACATAATGATGTAAATTAATTTCTACCTTCCTCAATCCTTATGTCCATGGATGCATGTAAGATCAATAAGCAATCTTAAGGATTTGATCCTAGCCTCCAACAGCTACCAATGGGCTTTCTCTGGTATTCAAAAGTACATGAGTGTATGGCAATGTCTGTCATACTCTGCAAGACAGTCACAACCATGCTCACACTGCTGCTGTTGTCACCACAGGTCACTCTTTTCTACCTTGATTGTCCTTGTGCTGAAGGGTGTACTGAGTTTTAAGTACCCCTGCTTGCTTTCTAGACAGGAAGTTTGGCCCTTCTTTCACAAGGAGACTAACAAAATTCACAGCTAAAAAGAAAAAATATATCCAATTGCTTTTCCACAACCCCCCTATCTAAAGGTCTGTTGCAGTTCTTAGCCAAGAGCAGACTGAAAGAAACTGTTAAAGATAACATCTGTAAGAACAAATTCACCAGTTCCAGTACTTCTATCGTGGGAATAATGCCTAGTTACAAGCACTGAATTATCAATATCCCTTCCAAACCAATAAACTGATTACTACCCTGCTCTGTAAACTAGTTTTTTAGAACATGGTTTTGTTAAATAAGTAACTACAGAAAGCCCTAAAATCACATTTCCTTTTCTTTGAAGACACATCTAGAGAAAAGAACCCTGCTAGGCAAGATCTGGTGAAAGGCCTCATCCTGTTCAGGCTACAACATCAGTGAATAGGGACAGCACCAGAAGGAAATTTCCTCCGAGTAGTAGTTAATACATGTTACCACACACTACTACCACCTTGTAAATCAGAATAACTCATCTGAACATCACGAGATTAAATTACTGTCAAGTATGTGGTAGGCACCTGTCAATTATTTATAGTGTTAAAATGAAACACAGTTTTCACTGGGTCCCTTTTGAGAGCTCTCAAGGGAATTTTTCCTGTCCAAGTTTAGCTTTTTCTCTAAAATAGCAAATGAAGGAAATGAAAGAATGCTCCTGTAAAATGGAGCCATATATCATGTCACAGGTTTTCACAAACTAGGTAATCACTAGTTTTTAGAAAAAGCAGCCATCACTTCTTTTTCTACAGGCCAGCTTGTAAATGCCAACATCTCTATTCCAAGACTGGCAATATGGTTTCTAATAATTGTAACTCTTTGGATGACTTCAACAGTAAAGATCAGTTTGCATCATTTTTCTTAAAGATTACTGCAATGGAATACTATGGTAAGCTGCAGCAATGGGTATTTCAGTAGGACTAGAACACTGAAGCAAGGGAAGCTTCTTAACTTCACAATTAGATGCCCTGCAATCCAATTTACAAGAGAAAAGCAGCATCAAATCTGTTTAGCAAATCTAAAAAAGTGTTTGTAGTTACAAGTCAAACAACATGTAATAAAGTTGGAATAAAGCACAGTTATAAGCAGGAGCATCTGACATCTCCCTGTGACCATTTGCCTTTTTTGCACAATGCAGTATTCAAGTCTGGTCTAAAAGATGGTCAAAAGCCTGCACCAGCAGTAAGGAAATGGAGGATGGCTCATTGACACCACAATTCCTCACAGCTGGTTACTCACCTTCCCCACAAGCTGCACAATCTCTGCAAGGTCCTCTTCCTCCTGCAGGATTTCTTTGGCCTTTGTCCTGAGAGGGACAAACTCTGTAAAATGCTTGTCATAGTATTCATCCAGAGCACGAGTGTATTTGCTGTAACTGATCAGCCAGTTGACAGAGGGGAAGTGCTTGCGTTGTGCCAGTTTCTTATCCAGGCCCCAGAAAACCTGTCAGAAACCAGGAAGATCAACCAGGGTTCCAAATAAAAAATGAATCAAAATAATTGAAGGCAAACCACCCCCACCCCCCCTTCAAAACAAAACAAAACAACAAAAAACCCAATACAGAAAGCAAATTTGAGCAAATGCAACACAGCAAAGGCTTTCACAAATGAAAGCCAGAGAGAGAAAAATAAAGCATTCTTTATATTAATGTAATTATAGCAGCAATTTCCAAATATACTGCTCAAAAAATTATGCAACTTATAAGCTGCATTAAGATTTAGCCAGCTTGAGCCTCTTCATGAGGGAGAAGTCAGCCATAACAAAGACAACATCAATGCTGGAGTCTAATAAAGTGGAGATCCGTTAGATGCAACCCCTTTTCCCAAAATAAGGCTGCAAACAATTACATTATTGTCCCTGTCAGCTGCTCTGAGGATTTTTTTTTGTGGTTTCATCGCAGTGGTTTACTTTTCATCTCAGCTGAGAGCAGCCACATTTGAAGTGCAGCAACAGGGAAGCCTGTGGATATTCCTGCTCAGTCAGCATTGGAATGAATTGCTACCTTAAGTGCCCTCTTCAAAAGGGATCTTGAACACATCAGTTCAGAGACCATCTCATAAGGTCACCTTTTACACTGTTAGAACATTTTCCAAAGCACCCTGCAAAGCTGCTTGCATCAAATCAAAGCTCTCGCAGCGTAGCCATGGGCACAAACGCACTGAAACACGGTCATTTCAAGTCTAGCAAAGCAGACAGAAGAGCCATTGGAGAACATACCTGAACAATGCCCAGTGTTGCAGATGTGACAGGATCAGAAAAGTCACCACCTGGGGGAGAGACACTGACCAGGAAGAGGTAAGGAAAACTGATCAGAATTGGTTTCACAGTTTCAACTGAAGTGCCAAATGTATGACTACACAGCTCCAGTCATCACAGGAACCAGGAAAGTTAACATGATTCCAAGCAAGTCACTAATTTCAAGCTTCTACTCCAGAAAGCGTTTAATACACACCTACACAGGTGTAACGTCAAGAATAGCATGAAATACAGCTCTATCAGCAAGTGTGCTGATAGGGCACTGTGAAACACAGTGCAACAATTATTTTAGAGAAAAATCATCCAAATTTGCAATTATTTTAGATAGTCACCTATTTAATAACCACTTCAAATTCAGTTGGGCTTGACACCCAAATATGTACCTTCTCAGAGATTAAAAAGTAAAAATCTTCCAACTTCAAAAGCACAATGCATTTGTGTACGTATGTTGTGGACAGCAGAACTAAGCAGAGCAAAGCATGGACTTTAGGTGTTCCTGCAGGTGCTAGAGACTCTCCTGAAAATGTGTGTGTGAGAAATTCACTTTGCCCAGAGTACGATATACAAATCAATGTATGTCCGTGGACCACATGCTTTTAACAACCCACCACAGCTTGAGATATGCTGTTCCCTGTAATTCTACTATATATGAGCAAGAAAATAATGATTCATTATGCCCTCAAGTGCACACACTGCCCCTTCTCTCCTACTCTGAGCATGGCTTGACACTGTCAGTGACAGCTCAAATGGCATTCTTCCCTGAGCCAGTTGCTCTGATTGCTGCAAGTGACTGTGATTCCATTCCTCACAGAACTACCTGTCCACATTAATTCTTTCTGCCCCCACACACAATTTAGCAGTAGCTGAGGGTGAACAGAGACTAAACATCTGCCTACTCATTCACACACTTAAGTTCTGCAGCTGCACAGAGCAACAAGAACTTTTTTGTCTGAAAAACAGGTACTTTGACAAGTACAGAGAAGAATGTGCAGCCACCTCTAAGCAAAGAATTGCAACACTCACGCTCCAACAATGCTGACGCTGCCTTCCCTTTCAGGATTTCCCAGACACTTCACTCTGCCAGCTCGCTCGTAGAAAGAGGCTAGACGGGCACCAAGGTAGGCTGGGTAACCACTGTCTGCAAACACCAACACACAGCCACTGAGTCCAAGGCCCAGTTTCAAGGATGCACTGACAAGACAAGACTGAAAAAAGACTACTCACCAGCTGGCATTTCAGCCAGTCGCCCTGAAATCTCTCTGAGGGCCTCAGCCCATCGGGAAGTAGAGTCTGCCATCATACTGACATGGTAGCCCATGTCCCGGAAATACTCAGACAGGGTGATGCCTAGAACAAAGACAACAGTGTGCATGATACATTTCAGAGGGAATTCTATGCTTGTAACTCATCAGTAGGATGCAAACAAGCCAAAATGTTCAAGTTTACATTTTGATGAAAAAGACACCGAAAGTTACTCTTCATTCCCATTAGATCACGTCCTTGCTGTCTTTTTTTTTTTAATTTCTTTCCTCTCACTCTCCCCTTTTTTTTTATATTAACCCCTCTGGCTCATCTTACATTCCCATGCATTTCTTTGAAGAGATACAGCAATGTCATTGAATTGTCTCACTGAAAGCAGAAACAAAGTCTCTTCTTACTGTAAAATGTCTCTTTCCCTTTCAAACTACCAGAATACAACAGTGAGAAAGTCATGTTTTTATCTTCATTGTCTGACAACTTTTCACAAAGACGACTTAAAAAAATAATCTCTAAGAGACTGCAATAGAAATAAGAACAACCTGCCAACTAGGAGACTACTATTCTGACCCATTAAACGGCTGTACTTGTCAGCAAAATGCTATTTGCAAACTAAAGATTACATAGTTAACATATAGAGAAAAACTACGTGAGAGCTGGCACAGTAAGTTCACCTTGTAAGTAAAACTTACTCAATATTTGGAAGTCATAGTTACATACAAGCAAGCCAAATTCAATTAAGACTTCATGCAGAACTTCATTAAATTAAGACTTCATTAGAACTTCATGCAGGCAAGGCCTGAAAGGCTTGACTTCTGAAACTAAGCAGGTTTCTTAATAGTGATGACCTCAGGAACTGAAAATACTAGAGCATAATGGCTTGCTCTACACACATAGCCTTTTCTGGCCTCCTGTATATCTTACCAGTATAGATAGAGGCTTCTCTGGCAGCCACAGGCATGTTGGAGGTATTTGCTACAAGAGCTGTTCTCTTCATGATGCTTTCTACCTTGCCATCAACTTCCATTGTTAACTAAAATGTAACAAAAATAAAACAAGATATGACTGTAGCAAGGGTTTTTAATTTTTGTTGTTTTGTGTTCATTTGTTTTTAAAATGTATTTCTTTTTGTATCAGGATACTCTTCTCACAGCTACTCTACCAAGAGCAGAAATTACTCAAGATTTCAGGATACTATGCTAGTTTGCCTTCCAGACTGCACACAGTTCAACTATTTGATGCACATGCCTCACTCAGCCTCATCTCATCTTCTGCAAGTGGTAAAACTTCTATGGATCCCACCTACATGAGTGACAAAACCACTGCATCAGGAAGTACACTAGTCCAGTAACCTGAAGGGACAGAAGAGCCAAAAATCTCAGCCTCCTGTTTAAGTTCATTAGGTATCAAATATCAACTAACTTTCTACACCAATCCAACTTTGTCTTGGACAACTGAGCATAAATAATCCAGGTGAAGCCTCACAAGCACCTGAACAACAGAATACATATTCTGACATTTGTTTAGAATTCCACTTAGGATTATCCTGGCATTTACCATTTTCATGACCACCTCAGCTTGAACATTTTCACCTTGTAATCGACCAACACACCCAAGCCTTTCACCCTTACTTCTGACACTGGATTTTCCACCTAACAGTTCCAACTACCTGGCTTCCTCTCACAAAAGACTGTGCCCCAACTACAACGCTAACACACAACAGGTAGAAGGACTGGAAAATCTGTTGTGTCTTTATTTTTATTTATTAGCCTGGCATTTTCTACCTCCTTTGGAAGGTATTCCAAAGCCTAACACATCAAACTGGTATCTGGTAACTGTTTGTGTCACCACCCTGCACCCTGTAAATACAGCTGCTGCATTTGCCATACATGATTCAGTTAGAAAAGTTAGACACAACACCAGTGAAAGGTAAGGTGCTTATAATTGTGCGAAATTACACCCTAGCATTAATTTTGGCTTTATTTTAAACAAGTTAAAATGTACACCCAAAAACTAGTCCAGATGTTTACTAAGGGGCCACTGAAATCTTTCTTGAATGAGTTAAAAGGGATTTCTGCTACTACAGCCAGAACTTAGAGCAGGGAAGGAAGATGATCACTTCAAGCCACTCTACCAATATGGTATTTTAGTCAGTTATAACATTAGTACAACAGCAAGTCTTCCCAAGAAGGCTTACTCTCCACGAATTCTCCATACTAACCTCAGGGAAATCTCTCAGTACTTCAGACATTTCATTTCCTCTTTCTCCACAGCCTACATAAATGATGACATCACTGTTGGAGTATTTTGAGAGAGACTGTGAAATCACAGTCTTCCCACAACCAAATGCCCCAGGAATTGCTGTTGTACCTCCTTGTACACACCTGAGTAAAGAAAAAAGATTCTGATTTGCAAAAAAATCAAAACCAGCTCTCTCCCACCTTGGAATATGTTTTCCAACAAAACTCCTTAATAAAAAGCAGAGTGACAGGAGTCACATTCAGTGTGCTGGGTGAGAAGCACAGAAGTCTTTCACTAAACCCAAACACTGAGGGAATTAAGTGTCCTTTTCTTCTGCTGCCCTTCAAGAACAGGAGTTATGCTGGTACAACAGCTGGACTTCCAGGCTTGAAACATAGCAGTCTTTGCAGCTGGAAGCACTAATGGGATGCAAATTCTAAGAAAAGAACAACTGTACTTAGCTGTGCATTATAAAAATAAGCAGCACAATATTTGAAGACCAAAATTACCAAATTCAGTGCCTTGAAGTTAGCTGCTTACGTGAGCATATTGAGTTACAGTTAAGTGCAACACTTTTCTTAAGTGGTGCCCCCAAAAATCATTAGGAACTATACAACCTCAAGACCATGGAAGGAGATCCTACTTATGTGTTCAAATGGAGATATCAGGCCTGAGAGCTCTAGCCTTTCTGTAGATTTGGCATGATTATGTTAAGTTTATGCTTCTCCATTCTTTTTCTAGATTAATGCACTAGAACTATCTTGTTAAACTTCTCTTCCTTTTTCCACTAGTGGGTTCTCCTGCCAAATAAGAGAAATATGAGGAATTCAGCTAAATATTTTTTGAGATTATGCTGTAACACATAGTGAAAGCTCAGGATCTGTTTGCCCTTAAAAAAACCCACTATTTAACAGCACTTTACTCTGCCTATTGCCCCAAAAGAGAGATTTCTTACATATCACAAGATGAGAGATAGTACTTACGGGAAGAGGGCATCCAAGACCCGTTGGCCAGTTAATAAAGGATGATTGGCTGGTAACTTCTCAGTAACTGGACGGACTTGACGTACAGGCCAGACCTGGACCATAGTGAACTTCTCCTTCACACCTTCAAACTCCAGCTCTAAGACAACATCCTAACAGACAGCACCAGATATCTGAAGTAAAGCAACAGCTGCCCATTGGACCAGCACACAAATTCTCATCTCAACTGATCTGCACAGCTAGGTCCTTGATACCACCACAGATTTCTCAGAGCCTTGACATGCTATTATGCCCTCCTGAGGGAAGGTTCCCTCCCATATTTACAGTGCTACTCGGGGGGAAAAGTGCAAGATGAAACTTCAACTAAAATTATGCTTTTGAAGAGCTACTGAACTTTGCATGTTCACAAGATATTGTAGATCTCCACAGAGGTCAGCAAACACAGCATAATGAAGTGCCACTGGGAAGGCATATACACAGAAATTAACTGCACAAGATATTCAACCAGTCCCTGCAGGCAGGGTAGCAGAAGCAATCATTAACTCAGACATCTTGTTGCATGAACACTTTCTAGTTGTCACCATAAAGAACAGAAATAATCCATCAACTTTATGAAAGAGACGTGGAATATACCAGCAACTGTTGTTTGGGAAACTTACTGAAGTGTCATAGTTTCCTGGCGGAGCAATGTATGTAACTGTACCCCTGTTCCGTGGTGGCAGCATGATTTTGTGTTTGATAAGGGAGTTTTCATTCACCACACCATAAATATCTCCACCAGTGATGTGGCTGCCAACCTAAAATCAGAACAGGTCTATTAGTCATAAGTGAGAACTCCAGTTTAAAAAAGAACCTTGACAAAGAACTGTATAAAATAACCATAATAGCTATTAAGTCTAGCACTGTGATTACTCCCTTTATAAATGCATTGTTACAGCACAGTAGTCCATTTACATAATTCATTACACGAACAGCACAGTCCTAGCAACACTATCTGGGTTCAGGTGCCTTTCAAGTCTGACAGCAGTAATTACTGACTGATGCCAGGAATTCTCCTTGTTTCTTTTATACCTCTCAGTTTAATGCATTAGGTAGAGAAAGGACAGCATGTGTTAACATGCAGAGTCAGAAAAAACCCCAATATGCCAAGGGCTAAAGCCATGACACTTTCCAGGTCTGAGGCTACCTTCACCATTCACAAAATGTGTGCTGCAATGGCTCTTTTTCTTCAGGTAACATCTGCTCCTGTTGATGCTTACTGCAATCCCACCAGCTTCTTTGCCTTTTAGTAAATACAATTAAACTGACTAAGTTTTGGTGATCCCAATCCAGGCCTCACTCTCATACCTTGCTACCACCTCACAGTACCCTTTCTTTCACAAACTTAACACAATGTTAACCTTAGCTCCCTGCAGCCTTAGCACTTTGCTCTGGCCCTGAGCTCTGGAGGTAGAGAAGCAGAAGACAGGCTGGTCAGAACCTACCCGCAGAGTTTTGGAAGGCATGAAGTCCCATTTGACATCTCGGCTCAAAGCTGACACGTTGACACCTCTAGGGATATAGATACTTTTGGTCAGAGTGCTGATGTCAGATAGAGGCCTCTGGATACCATCAAAAATAGCTCCCATAATGCCAGGCCCTAGTTCCACTGACAAGGGTTTGCCAGTACGGAGTACAGGATCTCCTACAGAGACACCAGCTAAAGATTTGCTGAGGAAAAGTTCATCCAGAGAACGGGAAAGAAACAAGGTAGAAGGCAACACATTCACAACATCATGCTCTTAAACCATTTGACTTGAAGGTAGTATTTTTAATATATTACACATCATAATTTGAGAAGCTGAAGATGAAATTGCTAAAGCAACAAAGCTGCTTATCCTCCAGAGAGGCAAAGTAGGGGTAGATATTCTGCTTTATGATCATTAGTTCAAGTCAACTATATGGATGAGTTTCCTGGAGTGCCAAGCAGCAGAAGGACAAAAAGTTAGGCATTTCCTAAATCTTCAAATGTAGAAAACATGTTTGATTGTTGAAGTCAAACAATGTTATGAAATACATGTTTCTTTGCTTCAGAATTTATTAGCAAGCATCACTGTTTTGGTCTTGAGCCTTGCAGAGTCTTTTTGACAGCAGTCTAATTTTAAAGGTAGTTTGTCCAAGACCAGCATAATTTCCCTCCTGTCTGACATCAAGTTGCCCAGTCTAGGCACTATCTAGGCTCCAAAGATAAACAATGCACTTTTCTGCAAAGGGCCAGCAGTTTGGTAAAAGGCCCTGTTAGAACACAAAAGAACCCCCCCAAAACCCTATATAAGTCTCCAGAGGTTAAATGCAAGTTGATTTCAGAGAGCCCTATGACAGAGCTCCCTCATCAGGAACCTAAGAGTAATCTATTTTCAAACTTGTTCCATGTACTGATGGAAGGCTACTAGATACCACAACGAGGATGCCATCTAAAATGATGCCATCTAAAATGACCAATTGTAAGTCTACCACCCAGCAGCTCCTTAAAACACAGCTTTGGGAGCCAGCACAGGCTTTTTCCCAGCCTCTGCAGATACACAGAGCCAACTCTAAAGTTTAAAAGAATGAGGAAAAAAGTTCTGGCTTCAAGTCTCATGACTTCTTTTTCAACATTCTCTCCTCTAAGTGTAATACAAAACACATTTAAAGTTAAATAGATTTTAGAATACATGCTGCCTCCTAGCTCGACCAAGATTCTGTAAGCACACTGCAGAAGCAAAAATGTAATCCATTACGTTTGGCAAAATACTCTGCCCAGAAGGCGGCATCCTGCCCACTTTACATTTCCTATTTAATTGCTGGACAAACACAGTTTTCAAAAGCGAAGAAAAAATGTGACAAAGATTGCTTGGTAGTTTTAACACTTGTGGTTGACATTTATAAAACAAATTCCATAACAAGGAGCTGTAATATTCCCTAATCACCACCATGTTCTGGACTGAGTAGTCTGGCAGGTCATGAGGGCTTAGCAAAAAGGATACATGTTTCTTCATACACCTGAACAGTCGCCAAATCACCTTCCAGTCGGATAATCTCCCCCACCAGTTCACTGTGGCCTACTCGTACCAACTCGTACATAGCAGCACCAGCCATGTTGCAAGCTGTGACCACTGTAGAAGACATGCACATAGGTGAATATTTTTCCTGTCACTCAGGAAATTTACTCATCAAAAGTCAGTAAAAACAGCACAGCATAAGCCTGGTATTCCACCAAACCAGAAGCACATTCTTTATTTCAAAAGAAGGGATAACTTGGCTGCCATGACATTTCTAGTTTAAAAGCCAAAAAAAAATATTGCCCTGTACTTTTCACACTGTTCCTTTATGCTCAGCAAGAGGACACTATCAGAATGTAGTAGTTCACAGACAATTCTTGCCATAATCTCTTATCTATCTTGACAGATGGCAAATGTTTAGGGTTTTAGAGATGCAGTGAATTTGGACAGACATGTTCCATAGGCACTTCTCCCTTTCAGTTAGCTGGACCACATTCCTGCCTGGCTAAACTACAAACATACAAGAAAATGGCAAAAGCTCACCTGATACCTGCAGGATAAACCTGTATTTTTCAAGCCACCCAAACTCCTGTTTACCTTGGTAGCATCTGGATACTAACAGAACAAAGTATTTCCATGTATAGATCAAGCCAAGGTGTCTGCTGAAGGCAACATATACCTTTGTATCTAGAGCAGCACATCTACACATCCTTTAAGGAAATGCTATTTTGATGCTTTATTTTGTAGAAAAGTGATGTACATTTCAGGGCATTTAACCTTCAACAGATGAAAACCGTTTGACAGCACATTTAGGGCCTGAAACTTCCTATTGTTGAGCTAGATTTCAGCAGGTCATACAAAAGGCTTAGCTGCTTTAGGACAGAAGTCTTTTCACGTCTTTCGTATTATAATATCAGTCTTGCACATGAGATTCATGTATTTACATACCAAAAAATACATTTTCCATTTCTTAGGAAAGAAAGCCATATCTGTTTAAAATAGATTTAAGCATCACTTCTGCAGTTAAGGAATGGGCAGTTAACAAATAGGAATTTATTTAGGTAGACACAAGCCAAGGGCTTAACAAAGACAAATGTTATTCTTCTGTTCTCACAATCCCATCCTTTCCTTCATCTCTTGAAGGGAATGCAAGAGGGAGTAGAAAAGCCAGTACAGTCCTTGTGTATTCAAAACTTGTTGATATCAGTGCTTAAAGAAACTATTTAAGCTGACAAAGAAGGAGAGAGTCCTCCTTCTCCCTGTCCTCCTTACACTAACACCACACTCTGCCACCTTGCCTAACTCTTTCCAGCTCTTTGCTGAGCTCCCCAGCCCATGGTGAAGTAACACAGAACACCTTGATTGTGGTAGGTGACTGAGCATTCCAGAGAACACAGAGTCAGACTTCATTTCACTAAGAATGGACTATGCATCTCACACTCTTTTAGGAAAACTTAATACATTGGGCCTGCAGATTTCTGACCATGTGGCTTTATCTCATACAAAAGTTTATGACCTTTTGTTTTTATTATTATTCATCAGCCTGCTGCTCATTACATCTTTAAGATTAATTAGCAGTACCATCTTAGTATATTTCTTAACTTTTTATCACACTAAGTCAGAGATTTTTCTTAAACTCTCCTTGCCCCAAAACTGATAAACAGTTCCACCTCAAGCTCTACTACACCTCTCCACTTCCAAGCGAACAAGATTAACAAGACACTAGATGAAACAGAACCTATTATTTCTTTTACAAAGTAATACCTACCAGGTCCAGAGACTCCATGGACATAGCCAACAAAGGCCTCTCTGTCCTCATCTCGGATTTTAGGCAGCTTGGAGAAGTCCATTTTGCCTGTTCCACTCTACAGAAGGAAAAAAAAAGAGTCAGTTCTGAAGAATACACACATGTAAAAAGTTTCTCCTCTCTGCTCCTTCCTTATTTCCAGCTAGGAAGCCTGAACACATATAGCCTGAAGCACCTTAACCACACTGATTTTAAAGCTATAAAAAGTTAAAAAGTAACTAATTTAAACAAACAAAATAACTATTGCAGAAACACAGGGGTGGAATGTCACTCCATAGTAGGTGTCACAGAACACTCAAAAAATGCTGTAGCTCAACTATTCTCTATCCTAATAATGCTCAACTATTTCCAAGCCAAATAACAGGATATTTAAATAACAAAGAATCACTTCTGTCTTCCACATCTCATCTAGCTTCCTTCAAAATGTGGAGTTTTCTATGAGCAAGGGAATGTTCTGGGGCTACTTTACTACCACCACTCTCTAAAAAGCAATACTACAAATATTAATTGTGAAAATTCTATTTTTGCTATCTTAAGCTGCTGAACCAGAGTGTCCAGAGGAGGGAACACACATTTTCATTACAATAGTTAAACACAGACATCTCTTGCCAGTAGCTGTTTAGAGAACCTGAACAACCGGCACAGGAAAAGCTGTTTTAGAAACAGACCTCCTTGATCCACACTTGTCCTGTAATTGACTGTTGGGCTGTCCTGCTTCTGGAGCCGATAAGAGTATTTCATGGTTTTGCTTTGTCAGTCCTTACCATGCTTTGCGTTACCTTGGAAACTGATCAGTGTTGGAGAACTGTGAGGAAACTCTCTACCTATCTCTACTGCATTGACACATTTATCTTACAAGACGGGTGAAAGGTGGGGTATGGCAGCACAGTGCTGCCTACGTACCAACAGGGCCTACCTAGCAAAACCCCACGGTTTGGTGATGTGAACCGTGCGAGGAACCTGTTGATACAGTTCTTGTGAGGAGCTTAACCTAACCCAGCATCTTCTGCAAGGCAGCAAATACGGAGGCATACTCAGGCCTGAAAACCTGTCCCTTGTACAAGGAGGAAGGCAATTACATTGCCATGCCTTCCACCATCATTAAAGGATGCTTTTCTGTCTCCTCTTCAGGAGTAGCAGTAGCTGGCATCTGCTGTTCTTCAGATCTTACAACTGTTTTCCAGATTTTAATACTATACTACAAATCCTCTGCCCCTCAGCCTCTTTACAAGCCAAAATATTTAAATCAGTGACTCTGCCCTGCAAGAAAAGGATCTCCAATTATTCTAAACTCCTATTCCTCCTGAAGGAATAGCTTCTTCCAGACTCTGTATGTCAGAGTGGATTGTGTAACAGCGGCTACCATTGACTCATTTCACAGCCACCACACCAACAAGTTGATCATTACTCAGTCACCAGCAGCCTGGTGTGGAAGTGTTAACTGCTCTCAACCTCAGAGGCTCCATTAGGTCCCTCTACTCTCCAGAAATGGTAAATTTATCCTTTAAGCTGCCTGTTGTTTAGGCCCAGAAGACAATTTTAATTTCACTGCTTATTTCCCAAAAGTCTCCTCTGTCAAGTGGCAGAGGGGAGGTCCTCGCAAAGCAACCTGCAGTTCCTGAGCAGCTGGTAAGATCTGGTTATGATCAGGCTAACAGAACTACCTCATCGTTTTGCTTTTAACAACTAAGAAACTGCAAAATTCAAGCACAATTACTGTTCACCCTGAAGAAAAAGCAGCTGGTCTTATAAATCCACCCAAAACATTGACTTCAACATGTCACGACACAGAACAATCTATAGACACCTACTGCCAAAATCTTCTGTAAAAGCACAGTAATGAAAAAACTAAATCAAATTTTTGTAACTGAATAAGTAACACTGTTTGACAATTAGACAGTACAGGGTGCTATATGAAAGAGTCCATTAAAAAAGGCAAGGAAAAGCAGAAAGAACACTGGCCAGTTTAAATTTAAATTAACTCATCCTTCATACCAAAACCTGCAGGACAGCTGACCACCACTTGAAAAAAGAAATGCTGTTATTTCTCTATGCATAGTTTTCTTGTGCATTAGCATTATAAATTTTCATTTTAGGTCTAAAAATCCTTGAGGGCAGAAACATTGCCCTACCTACGCTGGTAAATGTCTTGATTGTTTGTACTCAGATAAAACAAAATTCCCCAGATCAGATCAGATTTTGCTAAACGTAGCATCATTTGTGTTCAGAAGGTATATATTTAACCCAGAAGCCTTGGTAGCTGGACATTTTAGAAATCTACCAAGTTCCTACACCCTTCCATAGGCCTCATCCCAGCACAGGTCATTAGGCACGATATGCAATCCACTCCTACAAAGCCCACTAGTATCCTTTAGGCAGCTGATTAGCTTAATTTTAATTCCCTTATGAACAGAGATGCATCTTGTATTCTTTACAACTTACAGACTGGAATCTTCCTTGTCTCAAAGAGTTCAACAATTTATTTAAACATGTTTTTAAGCTCCAACATGGTCATATTCTACTTACTAGTGCCAGAAATCAAAATATTACTTGCTGCAGAACCATCTCAGACTGAAAGGTGATTTAAATAATTTTATAGCCATAATTAAACAAGAAAAGGCCAATGACCTGAGTTTTCTATCTTGGTTTCTCCCTAGCACAGCAATTTGGCTACGGAGTAACCCCAAAAATTTAACTATCCTGCTCTCAATGTCAAAATATCCCTGATTTCTACTACAGCTCCTAGTTTTTGCTTCAAACATTTGATCAGTCCTAGAATTTACACAATGAACTGCCTTATTGCAAAGATCTCTACAAAATTAAGACTCTTGTGAGATTTTTAGAAGGATCCTTCTTACAGCAAGGAAGAAAACCCATGACTATTTCATCATATAAATACAGATTCTTACCTTATTTTGCAGAAACAGGGAGTTACAAAAATCCACAGGCCCAATAAGGCAAATCCAGAATTCAGCAGTTAAGCACTACCACTCGGAAAAATAATTGTCCTTCTAGTGCCCCTACACAAGAGGGATGAGAAAGCCTGCTGCAGAGGGGAAAGAAATTTCTGACACACAGCAGAGGCACAACCACCTGACTTGATGAGTCATCAGTCTCTCCCTCTCCCACCAGCTCCAAGGAATGCGGCAATAGCAAATCAGCTGAACTCCCATCTGTGCCCTCCTTGCTGCACAGGACTCAGTGTAAGACATTAAACAAAGCATTCAGCTTACACATTAAGGACCTCCTACAAAGCAAATAATCCCAAAGTCCCAAGTGTACAAACTGCTAGATAAAAATCCTTGAAAGAGATTCAAGCTTTCTGCCGGAGTCCATTTACCCACCAGTCCTCCAGCGTAACATAACCATGTCAGTGCGTGCTCTGTTCTGGAAGAGCTTAAAAGAACAACTGTTTAACAACAACATGCTGCACAGGGAGGTGCTGAAGACACCGCAGTACTGATTGCTTAAGTCTGCAGAAGAGCTACTGATCCTTGTCCAAGTAGAGAGTCTTGTGGGGTGTACTGCTGCTCCTGTAAGAACCCCTTCCCCTAGTAAGCAGAAACATTGATGCAACTGCACAACATCCAACACCTTAGGAAATCAGACTGATGTGCCACCCTGAGTGAGAGCTGCTAGAACTCATTGTTGAGGATCAAAATGGACTGACATCGTCCTGTACATCATGCAGAAGACAAGTAGCTATGTGGTCTCTTCCCCAAGAAGTGACACCAGTTAATAGTTTCTCACAGTCCTCACAACTTCTCAAGACTACCTTCACAAGTTCTAGTAATATCATAGAATGGTTTGGGTTGGAAGGCACCTTAAGGATCATATAGATCCACACCCCCTGCATGGGCAGAGACACCTCCCACTAGACCAGGTTGCTCAGCATCCCATCTAACCTGTCCTTAAAACACTTCCAGGGCTGGAGCTTCCACAACTTCCCTGGGCAACTTGTTCAGCAACACATCAAATTGGCATGAAAGTTTAAATACACCAACCAAAATTGTAGCAAACTGCAACTGAGCAGCAGTTTAGTAAGTCACCAATGCTAGAATTCATTCTGCTGGAGTAACTTTGAACTGAGGCCATAGATTTTACCATAGCTAAAACAAACCAATGTGCTTTTTAGAAAAACGGAGTCAGAATATAAGCCCTTTCATTCAATATCCAGGAAAATTTAATATGCAAACACAATAAAGTACAGCTAACATAAGTTTCTAAAGAAAATTCCACCTCCTTTTGTTAGTAAAATCCTGGACACTACAGGATACTAAAGATCACAACCCACCCTGGACAGTTACATCTTAGCATCACATTTGAGTCTTGCTGTAAAATCAAGACTACAGATACTTACTGTGTTCACCTGAGCAGACTTTGGTACAGTGCCTGTCTCACTTTCCAGCTGTATGAGGAAGGGTTGCAAGGGCCTCATAAGCAGCAGGAAAATCACTGCCATAGATTTCCCGTAACTTGGGACAGTTTATACTTCCCCTTGTAACAGATGACACTTTTAAGAGGAACTGTTAAATAAAATACAGTGCCTAAGTTACTAGACAAATGCAGAAGTTAGGCAACATTTCTGCATCTAGAATCTGGGATATTGTCCCAGAAGGAACAGTATATTCAGTACTCCTACACAGGTCATTTGGAAGGGAAGCCATATAGTATTCTTATTAAATGTACTCTTCAGTAGTACATAGAGTTAAAATTTTACTATTATAGAGTGGGGAAAATTACACAAGATTTCTCAGCCACCATACAAAAGAACTGCTGAAGTTAGAAGGTACCTCTAGAGATTATTAGTTCCAAGCCCCCTGCTCAAAGTAAGTTAGAGCAGGCTGCTTGGGGCCATGTCCAGCTAGCTGAGTTTTGATTATCTCCAAGGATGAAGACTCCACAACTCTCTGGGCAACCTGTTCCAGTGTTCAGTCACCTTCACATTAAAACATGTTCTCAAGTTTAAAGGGAATTCCCTGTATTTCAGTTTGTGCCCATTGCTTCTTGTTATTTCAGCAGATACCACTGAGAAGAATCTGGCTCCATCTTCTTTGCCTCCTCCCGCTAGGTATTTACATACTTTACTCCGAGCCTTCTCTTCCTGAGGCCATGTAATCCCAACTTTCTCAGCCTCTTCTCATATGAAAGATGCCCCAAGCCCTTAATGGTCTTCTGACCCTTTCCTGGACCCACCCCATTAAGCGCATATCTTCCTTCTACTGGTGAACCCAGAACAACGCAGAGCTCTCCAGATGTGGTTTCCCTAGAGCTTGAGGGGAAAAACCACCTTCCTGAACCTGCTGGCAGCATTCTTCCCAGTGCAGCCCAGGACAGTGCTGGTCTCCTTTGCCAACAAGGTGACACTGCTGGCTCATGTTCAACTTGGTGTCCACCAAGACCTCGAGTCCTTTTCTGCAAAACCACTTTACAGCCAGCCAGTCCCCAGTGTATAGCAGAGCATTCTTCCCCAGGTGCAAAACTCCACACTTCCCTTTGTTGTTTTCCATGAGATTCCTGTCAACCAATTTTTCCAGTTTGTGGAGGTCCCTCCAAATGGGAGCATAGCTCTTTACTATGTCAGACACCTTCCAACTTTCTATTATCTGCACTCTAAGGAAACCATGCAGGAGTCACCACCTGTGCTCAACACAATGATCTGGCTTAGCCTTCTCTTCACACAGACATCAAGAAGCTAACTGTATCAACCTCCTTGCCATAAGCCTAGGGTTACAAGTATCATTGTTTCTTTAAATTCAACAATAAAGACATTTTCCCATTTAATTATTTATACAATTTCAGTTGCCACAGGGCTTTCTAAGGGCACCTCTGCTCTCAATAGGTCAGGAATCTAAGTGATGCCAAGCTACATACTATGGATCCATCTGCAATCATAAAAGATAATTAATCTGTCATACAACTTGTTCTTCAGTGCTACAAATCCCCTTCCTCTCACACAAACCTTGCTCCTCAGCACACATACAGGTGCCAGCACAGCATGCTCATCTTGAAGTGTGATGCCTTCAGGAATAACAGTGGCTACAAGGGAGACTGCAACAGGATAAATCATTAAGTCCATAAGAAGCTCCTACTGCCTTCTTCCTTAAAGCAGATAGGAACTTACGCATGGGTATGCCAATACAAGCAAGCTTGATACTTCAAGCAGTATCATGCTTTGCACACAAGCTAAATATACATAAGAAGTATTTATATTTAATACATACATACAGCATACACCCCTACCATAGAGATGAGGTGTCAAGTCTGTCCAACAAGCACCACCAACACCAACTGTTATTCAAGGACCAAAGCATTTATTCAGAAACTTGGGAGATTCCTTCAGTTAGCCCAGAACAGGACTAGAAAAAAGCTCTGTTTGAACATGACTGAGAAGTTAGCAGCAGGGATAAAACTAGATTAAAAGACCTGCAAGGCATTCACTACATAACTGTTTTGACCCACAAAAGATTTGATCAGCTCAGTTTGTAACTAGCCTTCCAATTTCAAACACAGCTGTCAAGCTATATTTAGAATCGATAAAGATCCTACTTATATAAATTAAAATACTCTTGTTACTAGAGAAAACCACATTGTTCACATGAAAAAAAATCTTTATCAGCTGACTGGTTATATGTTACAGAATTTTTTCATAATAGGGTCTACACTAATTCTTCCCCTCTCAGCCCAGAAGACTTCTCCAGAGAAGCTCTAGTGGTGAAAATGGATGAACCTCCCTTTTTTTCTTGATTCACTGCAAGAAATTTGACATTCCTTTCAGCCTGCTACATGTCCTGCCTCTGCTTTGGCTTAATAGACTTTCACACAAAAGAAAGATCTAATACAATTGAGATCAAAGCCATAACACAGAATACTAATACAATATTCATTTCTGTGTCCCACAGTGGTATTCTTTTCTTACTCTGATCCTGTCATCTAGCTGCTAGGGCTGAAAAGTTCTGCAGCCGCCTGCTTAGTGCAATGCTCAGTCATCTCCCCTGGACAAACAACATTTTCATTAATCTCATTACCATTACAGAAGAGCTAAAATCCACTCTTGCTTTTATTAAATTGAAGTCATTGTACTTTTAGGTGTGTTTGGCATTGAAATATTTCTTGTTGCTTTAACCTTTAAGATGGCAAACATTAAAACAAGATTAACGCAGCAGCAAACTTCACTATTGATCAGTAGAGTCACTTCTGAACCATGGGAGATTCTTAGTTTTAAGGGTCAAAACATGTGCCATCTCATGAAATAACTATTTCTAGATTTGTCAGTCAGGCTCAGTTCTACATGGAGAAACATATTAGATATTTGGGCTCATTAAAAAACACCTGCTCCTCTATGAGTCTCACCTCTACCTAACCTCTTGTCCCTAAATGAAATAGCTAAAAGAGTGAGTGCAAGTTTGGAATAAGCATTTCATCATTACACTTAATGTTAAGCAGTCTTTAGAGTAGAGATATTATGGAATCTTCAGTTTACTATTTGAGGTATTTGATGGCTGGTTTGAAGACCATGTTTGCATTAATGTCTTTAAGAAAGAGCTAATAACCCTAGCAGATAGAAGTATTCTTATACAGCACTTGGGTATAATGAAACACCTGGTTGGAATCACAACACACGCACGGCATTGGATTCCAGTAAAAGTAAATTAAGTTGAGGTCAACTCTTTCTGTAATGGAAACCATCTTTACGTTTTAAAGCAAATTAAGCTACATTTTGAGATTTTATGTTCAATTACTCACATGTCTACAACTTATTTAAAATAGCTAGAGCCCCTCCTACACACTAAATTGTTTAAACTACATACTGTGGTGGTTGTCTAAATATCTGCAAGGTGATACAAACCTATCTCCCAAGAACAAAACCCTCCAGATTTCAAGGATCTAGAGGAAAGTCACATAATATAATTGTCTTTTTAGAAGTCCTTACCAATATAATCTGCATTTAGCCAGAAATACTAGGTTTTCTTCTGAAGTGCTGCTTTTCAAAGTATTACTTTCCTAGT